AGTCCTGGGAGATTTGGGGGAGGAAAGTGCGTGATGGGGAGCTCTGCCTGCTGGAAGACTAGATCAGGCTTCCTTTGATGGAAGTCAATGCATAATCTCAGAAGTGACAGCCCGTCACTTTTGCTGTACCCTCTTTGAGAGAACCAAGTCCCTGGGTCCAGCCCACACACAGGGAGAGGGGCTCACATAGGGTGTAAATAAACACCAGGCAGCAGGGGCCATCCCGAGCCCCCTCACCAGCTGCCTACCACACTCCCATTTTGCAGTTCAAGAAACAAAAGCTCAGAGAGGTTTAGTAACTTCCTTAAGGTCACCTAGTAATCTGTGGGGGCAAGGTTCAAACCCAGAATAGCTTTTCCTTTTAATCACTAAGCGGGTAAACAGTGTCACTATGTGATCTTCCTGCTCTCTTTCAGGCCTCACCGGTGCCCTGCAGAGTTGCCTAATGTCACCCCAGCGGCCCAGGAGAGATGTTTGGGCTGGCCTGGGGCAGGGTGGGGAGGGTCTCTAGGCAGCCCACCTCTGCTTTTTCTGTTGTGGGACCAGCTTCATCAGCCCTCTTCTTGGCCTGTGTGAAAAGACCTCTCAACACCATTGGCCCCTTTCAGCACTGCTTCCAGGCTCCCAGGCCCATGGCTGGTGACTACTTCATCTCACTTGCCCTAGACGGAAACCTGAAGTCAGTTGGCATTAGACAGGAGTCACGCTCATGCCCTGTGCTCCAGCTGTACTGGCTCTTGTCCTCTTGTCCCTTTTACCCTGTAAACTCCTACCCCTGCTTCAGCTGCCAGCTCAAATCTCACTTCCTGTGGAGGCTGTGCCTGCTAGAAGACTAGATCAAACCCTCTGTCCCGTGCTCTCCTGCATGCCCCAGGTTTCCTTGTCTCGTGTATTGCAGTCATTAACTGCGAGCCTTGGCATGGTGGGAGGCAAGCTCCGTGAAGGCGGGCCATGTGCTTTCTGTGATAGGCCCAGTACCTGGCGAAGGGGAGGCAGTTAATGAGCGCTACTGCTATTCACTGAATGAATATTTAGTAAGGCCTCCTGCGGGCGATGTCAGGGTCAGCTGGCCTGTTTTCCCCAGGATACCTCTGTCCTACAGTAACCTTAACTCGGTGCCTTTCAAATCCCTACTCTAAAGGCTAACTAGGGACAGAGCTAAGGACTCCCTGACTGCCCATGTAAATACTTTTATTTCTTTTTTAAGATTTTATTTATTTATTTGAGAGCGACAGAGAGAGAGAACACATGCAGGGTGAAGGGCAGAGGAAGAAGCAGATTCCCACTGAGCCGGGAGCCAGATGCAGGGCTTGATTCCAGGACCCCAGGATCGTGACCTGAGCCGAAGGCAGACGCTGAACCAACTGAGCCACCCAGTGCCCCCGTGTGTTTACTTTTAAAAGGGACTCCTGGAGACCACAGTTTTGAGTGTTGTGAGCCTGGGTAGTAACTTTAGGGTGGGACTTTCAGGCTATAAAGGATGGATAGACCACTAGCAGGAGGAAGTATGAGATAATATTTTAGGGTAGGAGAGGCCTTGTTTCAGAATCTTTCAACTGCAGGGCCTACTCTGGTGACATAGGAAAGGGTTTTAGTAAGGGAGGAGTATTATTTTATTATTTGAAAATAATGTTGGGGTGTCTGGCTGGCGCAGTCAGCAGAACGTGTGAATCTCGATCTCGAGGTCGTGAGTTCAAACCCCATGTTGGGCATGGAGCCTACTTTTAAAAAAATACAATTAAAAAAACTGAATAAAAATAACTTTTACAAAAGAAATGCCTGTGCCAATATAATGTAAATATATATACATGTACACACTCATCATTTGATCTCATCTATGTAAAAGTATGCATTCCTAATAATAGCTTACCCTTACTGAGTTACTTATTACCTGTCGCAACAACCCTGTAAAGTAGATACTGTTATCTCCATTTTGCAGATGAAGATGCTAACGCACAGAGGGGTTAGGTAATTTTCTGAAGGTAACACAGCCAGTAAAGGACAGAGCTCAGATTCAAATCTTACCAGCTAGGCTCCAAAGCCCATACTTTTAGCCACTATATGAGGCAGAGAAAAATCCATCAAAGTGTTCATTGTCTTTGGATGGTAGTTTATTTTCTGTTTTGTTCTCCAGGTTTTTTTGTATGGATTTACTATAGGAGTTGAATGACAAATTCTTTATTAGGGAAGAGGTGGAGTGGTGAAATTTGAAGGATAAATGTACGTCTTAGAACAAAAGAACTCACCCCATTTCCTCTTCCACTTTTCTAAATTTTCTAGAAGAGCTGATGACCACCCCATTTCTACAGGCCACTGAAGCCCTGTCTCCAGAAGCCCAGGCAAGCACAGCCCTCATTGCAGGTAACAAAGGCCCTGAGCCAAATCCAGAAGACTTCTTGAACTCAACGGCTATCTCTCTCCATAGACTAGGAACCCAGTATGGTGATCGAGGATTTTCCCTATGCAGGAAAGCACCACAAATTGGAGACCAGATCTGTTAATGGGCTCGTTTTGGCATGTAGGTTTTCTTCTACGCACACACACGAGGCTACAAAAGACTTAGAGGCTTCACGCCTGAGACACTGCCAGTAAATGTGGGGAGTGGCCACAAATAGATATAAGTGTGTACGGGCCCTACGCTCCAGTGTGCGGGTAGCAGTGGGGTATGTGTGGCTTATCAAGTGGGTGAGGACAGGGATGGGAGGGATCAGAGAAATCCCTGCAGGAGGCCGTGGGTTTCAAAATGTCTTCCTGTTGGGATAAGCTATTTCCTCTTTCCCTCCTTCCTGTTTCTATCAGAATCATCAGGAACTGGTTGAGAGGGTTTTTTTTTTTTTGTTAGAGATCCAAAGTCGTGTGTGCTTAGCTTAAGCCCCAGGAGGCATCAGATATCCTACACCGTGGAAGTTGGGCTTGTGGGGGAATATGGATTTGGACGTGGACACTGGTTAACTCGAACAAGAGGATCCTTATACAAAGTGAGGGAATCATTGAATTCAGGGGACCCCATTAATGACTGAGACATCCTCAATCCTGAAACATCTCTGCATTTTCCCTCTCCTTTCCAAGTTGTCATCACCGTGGTCTTCCTCACCCTGCTCTCGGTCGTGGTCTTGATCTTCTTTTACCTGTACAAGAACAAAGGCAGCTACGTCACCTACGAACCTGCAGAAGGCGAGCCCAGCGCCATCCTGCAAATGGAGAGTGATTCAGCCAAGGGCAGGGACAAGGAGGAGTATTTCATCTAATGATTCCCGGGCCCCCAAGGAGCTTATCCAGGCTCCAGAGCTAACACACTCTTTAATTTATTAGGTGAAAGTTTTATCTGAAACCAGTGAGAAGCATTGATTGTTATGGGCAAACCTGAGCTCCTTCTAGGACACAGGCCCAAATGCCAACATCACCGACACCAGGGACACAGAGAAAGCCGTTGATGATGTCTTTAGCCAGGCTTTTGTATTATAGCTAGTTTCGGTGGCTGCCCAGCAAGGTGGAGCGACTCCAGGCCACATGAGTACGAGCCTGGTCATCTTCACTTTTTTCAAGGTCAAAGGGCAGGAGCATTAGGGTCTCTGGCTGCTCCTCTGTCCTCTACCTGGTCTACTAGTGACAGCTTGAACAAAGATAGTGTCTGTAGAAGTTCTTCCCAGGTGCTAGATACCACGGTAACAGGCTGAGCAGGAAGGGACAGGAGACTGGGGAGACCTCACCCCCTGATGAACATGCTCCATCTCTAAATCTGAGCCCCGCCTTTCTGTCTTCCCGAACAACCTCGTACTGATGCTATTTTTATCACAATTAAAAATGTTCATTGATACAGAAATGATTCCCATGTGCAAGAAATAACTACCTTTATATTTTGACTTACCCATCCTCAAACTTTTTCAACAGTTTCTTTTGCTTATTTAATTCATTTGGATATGTTGTCTCCCCAACAGAAAGAACTCTAGGGGAGTTTCACAAGTTCCCACAACAATCTCAGGAGTTTGAAACAAAGATGGTCATGGGAAGCTTGTTCTGGGGAGTGTCATTAGAAACATACCCTGGGAGAGGAAATGGTTTTACCTTCCATCCTGGCAAAAGCCAGAATTTCCCAGACCCATTTTTTTTTTTTTTTTTTTTTTTTAAGATTTGTTTATTTGAGACTCTGCTCAAGAGAAAGCATGAGTGAGGTGGGGAGGGGTGGAGGAAGAGAGCAGCAAGTTCCCCACTGAGCAGGAATCCCAACTCCATACTCCATCCCAGGACCCTGGGATCATGACCTGAGCTGAAGGCAGATGCTCAATCGACCTGAGTCACCCAGATGCCCCTTCCCAGACCCCTTTTGTATACACAGAGGGAACCAGGAACAATCTCCCTACCATTCTTCCCACCAGTGTCCTTTGAATCAAGCCCAGAGAAGCTTCTTGTATCTAACTTAGTCCCCAAATGGTATGTGTTTAAAAGACACAATGTTTTGATAGAAATCATAGCTCCCCAAATACTGTTTTACTTGGAAATTAAGTTAAATCTCCTTTGAGGTCTTAACTGCATTGTTCCATTGTCCAACCTCAATTCCTCCCAAGACCCAAGAGTTGAAGAATCAATTTTGACAATTCTAGTTTTCATTATTTCCCCACACAGAACTTTGGAGAAACTGAAGGTCGCCTTGAACTTACAGACTGTCATACTAAAACATTTTTCTCAAGTCAAATTCTAGAGCAAGTTAGGAGAATCAGTCCCCTTATTTCTAAGTTTATGTTCTGACTACCTCTGGCATAATAGGCTTTAAGAATCTGAAAGAGCTTAGGAAATAAAATGAAGAAAAGTAAAACCTCTAGAATGGGACTCATGAAAATAGTCAAGTCTTGGCCTTGTACTCCTCAATTTATTCCAAAGGCTTCATTTAAAAAAAAACAAAACCCCAGAATGACAGCAGGACCCATCTGAATTCTGGGTGGGACATAAGATATATGTGGAGAAAAAAATCTAAGAACGAGTTGAGCAAAGAATCCTTAAAGTGAGGTGTAATGCAACTTCATCACTTTATTCAAATCTTCAAAATAGTCTTTATTCTACATTTTTAGTATAAAAAATCCACAAGTTAAGTGCACCACAGTGTAGAGAGAGACATACAACGCTGAACTTCCATAACAGTCAATGGTACAGTCAAACATCACATGGACAGAACACAAAATTTAGATGAACTGAAATTATAAAATAAAATCCAATTTCAGAAAACAAAAATCAAAATATTAAGGATCCCTGAAATATTCTTAACCCTAATGAGATTTTACTGGACTCAAGTCATTTTGTAGTGAGGGACTCATAATATGACCCCATTAAACCGGCTGAGGAATTCTCGGGAGCCATGAAGGCCTACATGAGATACTCTTGACAATGAACGGTAACCAGTTTTTGGGTGGGAAAACTTCCCCTAATTTGGCTCTAATGTCATCAGGCTTTTGAAATGCATCCTCCTCCTTGCCCCCACATTTTTAAACAAACCTGTTTATAGTTTGCATTGATACCCTTGGTTCAAATAGAGCTCTGTTTTTCTGGCACCGAAGCAAATTGGAGTTTGGTTCACAGACGAAGAAACAACCTGTAAGGAGGATCCGAGGGGCACCCTCCACTTTTGCTTGAGGAGATGCAAAAGCAGAAGTAATGGGGCCTGTGCTTGGGGCACAGAGGGGGTTTCAGAGGATCCTTGTAAAAGACTAGTTAAAAGATGGCAAGTGGGGACAAGTGCAAGGAGAGAAGGAAGTTAGTCTGACTGGCTTTCTGTCCTGCACCATTGATTCAATGGAGATTGGCGGGAAGGAACTGGAAGACTAGGGGTGAGGGTGGGCCATGGGGCAAAGGAGGGAAAGGCAGACAACTAATGCATTTCATTTATAACAAGTAATAGAAATCAAAGACTTAAAGGAGATTAAAGACCAATCAGAATAATTTGGCAACTTTAATTCTTAGGAAGATCAAAGTTCCCTCCAAACCTAATTTGATGTTTTATTACTAAGAGCGAAGACCAGTATGGTACAGTAGTACTCCAGAGGATTAAAGGAAGATCCTCAGGGCTGCTTTACCCACATTCATTTTATGAATGGATGCCTCCCCTACCTCAAAATGCTTTAAGGAGGTACTGCTACCATAACATGGTTCCTTATTAAGTTTGAAAAGTGCCTGAAAATTTGGGCACCAGAAAGACACCCCAACAACATGTGTCTAAACTGCAACTTCAGGTTAATATGACTAAAGCAGTTACATTGTGAGAAGTGCTGAAGGTATGTGATGTCTTTCCCGGCACGGAGGTGGCCTTGGTTCTTCACCAGATGGTGTAGCCACCATCTGAGCCACCCATGAAGAAGTTTCCCTTCCGCTGAGTTACGAGGACATTGGCTCCCTGCATGACTGCAAGCTGAGCGGCGTTGGGAGGGCATCCAGGGGGGGGAGGCTGAAAGGAAAAGACAAAGTTGACTGGGCATAGTGCAGCTGAGACAAGGGAAGTGGACACGGGGACAACACGATCCATCAAGGAAGATGGCAGTGTGCTCACCAATCGCATTGTTAAGCTAGTTCTGCCACCAATTTGGGTTGTAAAGCAGGTCTGTATTCTCTGTGAACCCAAAGATACAAACAGGAAAGAGAGGGCCTACCACTCATTCAAAGGCATTCTCATCTCATTTCAGGTATACGGTTTTGAGCGGATGGCCCTAGCAAGGACCCTTTGGGCTCCAAATCTTATACATGGGGGGAACTAAGCAGGAAAACAGAACTAAAATCTCTAGTATCTCTCTAAACGCTACTTCATAAGGATTGTGCTTTTCTCCATTTAATGATCATGTTTCCTGACGGAATGCCATGCTGATGGTACATGTGAAGTCAATGCTTTAAATGCTCGTGGAATGAATAAGGAGTATTCCTAGACCAGTACCAAACTGACACTGAAAAGGCAGCAGGCAAGACTCCTAAGATAGGAAAACAAAGGAATCTGGGAATCTGGTTAACTCAGACCCCAGGGAATGTGCCAGATGCTGCTGACTTGCCACAGATCTCCTGCCCCCCCCCCTCAACTTGCTTTCTGCCTGACTATTGGGTATCAGTGGTTACACTAATACCACAGCAGCTGTTACCCAGGGACAGTGAAAGGATGACTACATAATCTCTTCCGGGAAGTGAAAATACACAAGAGCTGAGTGTTTCCGGTAAGGTCATACTCACAGGAATGTTGCCAGCAGTAGCCCCAGCTCCAAATCTGGCACCTGCATCATACCCTCCTTCCACCAGCACGGCTGAACCAGGTGGATAGATTGGACCAACTGGGTAATAAGCCATAGGGATTGTGGAACCTAAAGGTCCAACAGCCACAGACTGGGCCATGGGAAGATACAGTGAGGCGCCAGGAAATGCAGCAGACATGGTGGGGACTGTGGCGGCCCCGGGGTGCACGAAGCTTGGACGATAGAGCTAGAAGAGGTAGAAGAGAAGGGAACAGGTTACTTTAAGACATTCCAATTTTAGATCCCTTTCCTGAGTCCATTCTTAACTCTCCTTGTGCAGATTACACCGTTGAGTTCCACAAACTGCCTTTCCACTACCACTCGATATTCTCCTGGGTCACTTCCTGCTATAGCTAATGTTAGGCTCAAGGAACGCAAACTCATCTTCTTCACCTCAGCCTATGCCAGAAAACCTAAAATAATCAGAGGATGCATTATCAACCCCGACAGAAATTGCTGAAGTACACAGTGTTTCAGATTAATCATGTGAGCACGCTCTCCTCTTTGTGGAGAGTAAATAAAAATGTGGGGACAGGTTCAACTAAGGGCTGAAAATGTGATCCAAGTTCAAGTCTAGTAAACTGGAAGCACCTCGGAGTAGGCAGGTGGAGCATCAGTATAGGGTGGAGCCTGAGGAAGATGCAAGGTCTGAGGGTACACGGGATTCCCAGGAGGCTGCACAGGGTAGGTTGGCTGCGTTGGATATTGACCTGGAAGACAAGACAAGACAAAAATGCACATCGCCTACCACCAGAGCCACCAGAATGGAGCGTACTGCGTAGCTAACCTAGTGACAGCAAGCCCATTTGGAAACTGACTGCTCTGGAGGGCCCGATTTCTGGGGCCAAGAAAATAAGCATTCTCTTTGCTCCTTTATCCCCACTTATGCCCGAAGATGTTGGATTCTAACTGGACAGAAAGGGAACTCTTTCCATTAGCATACTGGTGTAAGGTAATAGCCTGGACCCAAGTTTCTCCATCCATGCATGGTAGGTCTGGGCACCCGTTCCTGACAATGTACCAACGGTAGATACATCTTGCCTCTGCCCTGGGTGGTCTTCACAAGCCTGGCTGTAACTGCCCAAGACTTCGTTGAGTCACAGTAGTTACGATTATTTGCCCCATAGATTCCTGCTCAAGGTCGACTTCCAAATAAAATGAGTGGTGGAAGTGAACCTGCAGACTCGAGAGAAGATAAAGGGAAATGTCCTGAGAACCAGCTGAGACTCGTGCTCTGCCAAACACCAGTACAATCACAGGAACCGGGAGAACTTGGCGCGGCCATCGGAGGAAACCGGAGAGAGACCCTTCTGGCCCCCGGCCCGCCCACCAGCGCCGGCACTTCACTAGTTAAGCCCGAGCGCCAGCCTCAGGTTCCGGAGCGCGGCGCCCCGCCTCCGCCGGCTCTCCATTGGCCTACCCGAATCCCTGCTCTAGCTCCCCATTTGCTTCTGCAGATGCCCATCATGACAAGCCTTTTCCACCCCCCCACCCTCCAGCCGATCCCGCAGCTCCAAACTGCGCCACAGAGTTTAAGGAGAAAAGGGCCGGGAAGGAGCGAGTAGCCGTAGTTCGGGGATGACGAAGGCGTCTGGCGCAGTCCCCGGGACTGCAGCTGGCCCAGGAGCGAGGCGCAGCTCGCCCTGAGCCTGGCGCTTGGCGACCCTGGGCTCCAGGCCCACTCGCTCCAGGCTAGCACTATTCCCCCCGACGGCCCCAGCCGCCCCGCGTCCTTGCCTTTGCTGTTCATGGTGGCTGCTGGTCCGGTTCGGCTCGGCGTCGCGGACGGTTATTTTTTTCGTCCTCTTCCTGTTCGTAGTCACTTCCGTGTCACGTGACGATTCGTCCTCCTAGCGTCACCCGACGCCCGAGAGCCGCTACCGCCGGAAACCCCGCCCCTTTGCCCGGCCTCCAGTAGCTAGAGGGAGGGCTCGCGTGGTCCCGCCTACTCGCGCGCGTTGGCCCCGCCCCTTGGGCCTCGTCTACCGACCCCCCCCCCCCCCCGAGTCCCAAGACGGGAAGAAAACCAAATACAGGTATTGTGTCAAGACAGGGTTTTTTTTCTCTCTTGGGCGCTTGAAGGCAGAACCATTCAACTATTCCCCGGAACCTTTTTCCACCTACGCACCGCAACTCAAGGTCACCTCACCTTGACAGCCTTTCCCCAAGGAGCAGGGATTTCTGATTACTTCTCTAACTGCCTAAAATACGCTCTCCAAACCTTGACCTGTCGCGCAGTTTCCCTCCTGCGAGGTCCGACTTAAGCCTCAGGTCCGTCCAGATTTATTTTGCCAGTCCGGCTATCCAGTGTCCTTTCCTGAGGTCGACCATCATTGGAATCTTCGCTGCCTTGTCCTTTCCACCGACAGGCAGTCCTGACTACTTGTGTCGCTGTCTTTCTTCGCAAAAGGCAGGACCTGCTGTGCTTGTGTCCTCCAAGCGGCTAGCGCTGAAACCGGCACACTCGCGGTACCCAGGGAGTGCTTGTGGCCCTGCCTTTCCTTTCGCCCTTGTTGCAGGTGACCTGTGTGGTGCCTTGTGTATATTTTCTTTGTTTTCGTTTCGCCCCTAACCCCCTAATTGTCCTTAAAGGCAGAGATGCCATCCTTGAGGGCAGCAATTAAGGTTTTCCTTACATCCTTCATTTTAAAATATGCCTCCTGTGTGCAAGTACAGAGATGGAACTGAACAAGACATTTTTAATATGGTTCAGACTAATACTAGTATTGAAAAGCCTATAACATTAGCCTTTTCCTGTATGTCTGACTCTAATCTTCTCGAAGGCAGTATAGTGTTAAACATTCTCTTTCATCTTATTTGTGAAATACAGATGCCAAGCACTGTTCTAAAACAAAACAAAGCCCTTGCTCTCTTGAAGTTCACCTTCTAGTGCGGGGGCTTGCAAACTTTTTTGACCACAGTCCACAATGCTGCGCTTTAAATCATGACCCACCACACACACACATTTGTAACAAAAATTTTTGACCTTATCCTTCTGTGTACAGTGCACCATAGTATTTCCAATTCTCGTGTTTGGTTGGGTTTTGTTTTGTTTTGTTTCAAATCTGGTTGTGGTTTCTCATCCCACTAACAAGTCAACACCCACAGCTTGAAAAACACTGTTTTTTAGTAGACTTGTATCTCCAGAGCCCTGTACTTTTCCTAGCATGAAGTTTGCAATCAGTAATTGGTCAGTAAAGGAGCGAATAAATCCTTGAAGGTCAGATAAGACAAATTTTCCCTGTATCCTAACTTTTCCAAATTAGGTCATAAATTGATTCCACCCCAAAGCCTGAAACTGGAGAAGTCACTAATCTGTCCTAACCTGCATTCTATGCTCAAGGCTTCAGGAAAAAAAGGACTGAACCTAGGAAAGGTTTTAGTTCCTTATTTCTCTCTGTGGCCCTTGGGGACTCTAAAATTGTGTTAACTAAAGCAGTCTGTGTCAATGAGAGTGTTGAGGGGGCCACTGAATCAAGGTACTAGTTTTTTGGTGTTTGTTTTTTTTTTTAAGATTTTATTTATTTATTTGACAGAGAAAGAAATCACCAGTAGGCAAAGAGGCAGGCAGAGAGGGAAAGGGGGAAGCAGGCTCCCCACTGAGCAGAGAGCTCCATCGATCGATCGTGGGGCTTGATCCCAGGACCCTGAGATCATAACCTGAGCCAAAGAAAGAGGCTTAACCCACTGAGCCACCCAGTCACCCCAAGGTACTAGTTCTTATTCTCATTCAGTCACCAACTGACTTTGGTCCTCATCTATTTGGCTCCCACTTATCCCATACTCTTTATTAATCAGATACTGCACGGGTAACCTTGCAGATGTAATCCATTGTCCATTGCAGATTGAGGAAAGGTGCAGATCAGGAAACTATTTCAGAGAAGTAGTTGAACTCAGTTAGTTTCGCAGCTGCAAAGCCAGTATTCAAACTCAGGTTTGTGACTTTATAAGCATTGTTTTTAATATGTTTACATTGCTTAATCTGTTTACATTTTTTTAAATCTGTTGTCTCCCAGGGGTCTCAGTTTCTTCATCTGCCAAAAAGATCACACAATCCTTGTGTCATCTCCAACTCTAGACTCTGTTTCGGGAAGGAAAGGAGCAAAGGGAAGCCTGAGAAGGCAGAGGGGAAGTGGGCAGAGCTGATAAGCAGGTTGTAAATTTTGGTCAGGCCCTACCAGGTATTAAAAATTTAGATACTTCTGGGGTGCCTGGGTGGCTCAGTCGTTAAGTGTCTGTCTTCGGATCAAGTCATGATCCCAGGATCCTAGGATCCAGCCCCATCTCAGGCTCCCTGCTCAGCAGGATGCCTTTTTCTCCCTCTCCCATTCTCCCTACTTGTGTTCCCTTTCTCGCTGTGTCTCTCTCTGTCAGATAAATAAAAATAAAAATGTAGATACTTCTACTGGATGGTAAATAGCCATTACCCCAAACTGTGTCCCCAAGTGCACCTCTCTGCTCTGGCTCTCCCTCCACTGGAACCCACCCCCGGCCCGGGACATAGCTCTAGCTAAGGCAAGTTGCTCTCAGTTTGGTCAGTGCCTCCTCTACAGGATATTAGTTATTTTGCTTATCACTCTGGGACCTGGGCATAGAGCAAGCTAAGGCAGAGGCAAATGAGGTTACCAAGAGAAATGGAAAGGTCACAAACCATTGTTTTCTCTGGCAAGTGGGATTAAGGAGCAACTGGCTACTTTCTTGGACAGGAGTCAAGAACCTTTCTGTTTTCTTCATTCTCCTGGGGCCCCCAGCAAGATGAGATCTTCATTTAGTCATTTATCAGACATCCTTTCTTGAATTAATTTAGCAAGTATTTATTGAGCACCTATTACATGCCAGGCCCTGTGATAGGCACTAGGGAAACAGTAGGGAAGAAACAGGCTTAGTCCCTACCCTCCCAGAACTTAGTCTGCCTAATGGGAGAGACATAATGTAATGTGACTAGTGCTGACATAAGGACAGTATGGGGCATTAGAACACATAGATGAGGTGCCTGATCTCTTACGCTGGGCTCAGGGAGGGCTTCCTGTTGGCAGTGATGTTGGATAGGATATCTGAAGGCTGAGTGGCAGTTTAGCAAGTGAAGGGAATTCCTCAAAGAAGGAACAACTTATGCAAAGGCCTGGAAGTGAGAGAGCTTGTGGAAAGGGAGGATGTTAAAACAGTTCAGTATGGGGCGCCTGGGTGTCTCAGTGGGTTAAAGCCTCTGCCTTTGGTTCGGGTCATGTTCCGGGGGTCCTGGGATTGAGTCCCACATCAGGCTCTCTGCTCAGTGGGGAGCCTGCTTCTCCGTCTCTCTCTGCCTGCCTCTCTGCCTACTTGTGATCTCTGTCTGTCAAATAAATACATAAAAAATCTTAAAAAAAAAAAACAAAAAACAGTTCAGTATGGCAGGAGCATGGAACAGGAGGTGAATTCTAGTAAGACATGACTCTAAAGAGGGAAACAGGAGCCAGACCACACAGGGGACCTTGGAGCTCATAGAGGATCTGATCTTAAGACATTGGATTCTAAGTAAGGGGACTGGTTAGCCACTGAAGAGTTTTAAGCAGAAAAGTAACATGAACCTGTTTTTAGTTTAGAAATAGCTTTCTGGCTACAAAACATAGAAGAGATTAGAAGGGGGCAAGAATGGAAATATGTCTGGGAGAGCAGTTAGAATACCAAGTAGTAATTTTAGTGAATGATGATGGCAGACTGACCCAGGGAAGTGGCAGGGGGTAGAAAGAAGGAGGGCAGCATTCCAGAACTATTTAGGAGGCGAAACAAGGGAATAACACTCAGGATTAATGTGTCCAGAATTAATTAAGAGAATTAACGCCAGGATTAAAACTACATAAAGTGAAAAGACAAATGACAAATTGGAGAAAAGATATTTGCAGTTTGTGTCACAAAGAGCTAATCTCCCTGTCCCAGAATTTATAGACATCTGTAAGTCCATGAGCAGTCGTTAGAAAAAGTAGCAAATGACATTTATAGACAGTGTAGAGAAAAGGAAATATAAATGGCTCTTAAACATATTAAAGGATGTTCGGCTTCACTCTTAATAAGAAAAAGGCAAATTAAAACCACACAAACACTATTATCAGTTCCGTAAAATCCAAACATTTGCTAACTTTATTTGCAGCGCTGTGAATAAACACTCTATTTATTTTTGTTTAAGTTTTTATTTTAATTCCAGTTAACACTCAATGTAATATTATTTTTTAAAGATTTTTATTTGACAGAGATCACAAGTAGGCAGAGAGGCAGGCAGAGAGAGAGGGGGAAGCAGGCTCCCCACTGAGCAGAGAGCCCAATGCAGAGCTCGATCCCAGGACCCTGAGATCATAACCTGAGCTGAAGGCAGAGGCTTTAACCCACTGAGCTACCAAGGCACCCCACAATGTAGAACTAGTTTCCGGTGTACATATAGTGATTCAACACTTCCATACAACACTAGGTGGTACTTACCACAAGTGTGCTCCTTAATCCCCATCACCTATTTCACCTATCACCCCACCCCCCTCCCTCTGGTAACCATCCCCCCACTCCCTCCCCACTTCTAGATATGATCCCTACAGATATATTTGCATTCCTGAGAAACACTGTATAAGGTGTTCACTGCACTATTGTAATAGCAAACGATTAAGAATAACCCATATGTCCATGGTGAAAAGTAAGACTTTTCACTCTATGCCTTTAAGTTGTTTTTTTTTTTAAATTTTTGAACTATGTGAGTGCTTACCAAGTCAAAAAATTAAAACAGTGTTCGCACACATATTTAAATGGCTAATATAACAAGCCTGAATATTTCAAGTGTTAGAATGTCGAGCTACTAGAACTCAGACTGCTGGTAAGAGCATCAAATGGTACAACCACTTTGA